TTTGACATCGACTCACTATACGCCATCATTCCGTTACAATAAAACGCAAACAAACAATTCAATCAGTTAAACAAATTAATGAGTTCCAACAGTAAGTAACAAACATTATATTAGGATTCAAAAACTTGTTGGTTACTTAGTGAAGTATTAATGAAAATTATATTCTTGTTCCTGTTCAACTACCTACAATCCTTTAAGCATAATTCATAACGAATTTCAATGGGACTGAAAACGTCGGTTTAAGATATAAATAAATCTTTAAAAAACTTATTCAACAAGTTAAATTGGGGGTAGACAGTTTGTTTTTTAATCTATCAATAATGTTAATATAATAATTTAAGTTGGTGTAGACAGTATGTTATTCATCCTTTTAATAATGTTCATGTAACAATAAAACAACAAGCAGCTTTATTTCTAATACAAACTAACTTCTATATGTACAATAAAGCATTTAAGGGTAGACACTTTGTTATTCATCTTTATAATAATGGTAATATAACAATTTAAATTGTAAGAGACAGTTTGTTATTTAATCTATCAATAATGTTAATAATACAATTTAAATTGATTGGGGTTAGACAGTTTGTTTTTTAATCTATCAATAATGTTAATACAACAAGTTAAATTGGGGGTAGACAGTTTGTTTTTAATCTATCAATAATGTTAATACAACAAGTTAAATTGGGGGTAGACAGTTTGTTTTTAATCTATCAATAATGTTAATATTTAAGTTGTTGTACCTACACTATAGATAGGACAAATAACAAACTGTCTACCCACAATATAAATTATTCTGATAACATTATTGATAGATCAAATAACAAACTGTTTAGCCTCAATATATGTTATTAGAATAACTTATATTGTTAGATAAATAACAAACTGTTTAGCCACAATTTAAATCATTCTGATAACATTATTGATAGATCAAATAACAAACTGTTTAGCCACAATTTAAATTATTCTGATAACATTATTGGTAGATTAAATAACAAACTGTTTAGCCACAAAATAATGTTATCAGAATATTTTAAAGATGGATCAAATAACAAACTGTTTAGCCACAATTTAAATTATTCCGATAACATTATTGGTAGATTAAATAACAAACTGTTTAGCCAAAATTTAAATTATTGTATTAACATTATTGATGGATTAAATAACAAAATGTTTACGCACATTTTAAATTGTTATATTAAAGTTATTATATGGATGAAAACCAAACTGTCTACCCACAAGTTAAATTGCTGTATTAAAATTATTGAAAAGATAAATAACAAAGTGTTTACCCACAATTTAAATGGCTATGTGGTTTGGGCGCTCGACTCGTAATCTGAGGGTCGCGGTTTCGATTCCCCGTCCCGCCAAACATGCTAGCCCTTTCAACCGTGGGGGTATTATAATGTGACGGTTATTCATACTATTAGTTAATGAAAGAGTAGTCCAAAAGTTAGCGGTGGGCATTGATGACTAACTGCCTTCCCTCTAGTATTTCACTGCTACTTATCAGAAGAAGATAAAGTTGGTAAACAACGCCAACATTTCATACATGTTAGTAGAAACCCAACACTAGAAAATGCCAAAATGGAATCTGGAAATGGTGCTAACGTCTTATACGTATCAGTCTGAATGTTTGTTTGATAATTTACATGCAAAGCTACACAAAGGATTTTATATATGTATGCGCATAGCCGTCCACAGTTTTGAAACTACAGACTAAGATGAAGAAAACTAATTTTAGAACTAGTATTTACTGGCCGAATAGTGAAAGTCAATTTTATAATGCTTCCACAGCTCCAAACAGTGGAGCGAGGTTTTGCGGTAACGGGGCACGAACCAGATCTTCTTTTATTCATGATCCGACAACTTATGACTAAGTTAGTCTGATACATAACAGAGAAAAATTATAGTTATTTTATTTTGTCTTTTATCTAGTCAGCAATATTTCGGTACACTGAAATAATAATTATTAAAAACAACGTACAACCTATAATCATAAGTGTGAATTTTGGACTTACAGGACAATCCATTTTGTGAATTTTAGAGAAACCACACATTATTCTAACACAAAAGTCAACTAATCTACCTTCATAATAACTTTTCAATGTAAATTTTGTTTTTCTTTATCTTTAAAAGACAATTTTATAGCTTTATTTTACCTATGATGTTCCTTAGTTACTTGTTTTTGTCAAGAATACACAAACAATTAATTTATGGTTGAAGAGAGTTTAGGGTTTTCTAATTATCGACTCAATCGCATTTGACATCGACTCACCATACTCCAACATTCCGTTACAATAAAACGCAAACAAATAATCACAAAACCAAATTAATGAGTTCCAACAGTATTTGAACCTTAATATAATGTTTTTCACTGATCAAGAATCTAGTCACTTCACTAAGTAACCAACCAAGTAATATGTTTGTTTTAAGATTTACGTATATCAGAAACCGACTTTTTTTAGGCCTATTGAAAGTTTTTATGAATTGTGCTTAAAGGATTGTAAGAAGTTATGCTTTATTGTACAAACAGAAGTTAGTTTGTATTAGATATTTTGTGCAACGTTATATAGCTGTGTGTTGTTTTAGTGTTATTTTAACATTATTGATATATTAAATAACAAACTGTCTACCCACAATTTAAATTCTTATATTAATATTATTGATAGGATAAATAACAAACAGTTTACCCACAATTTAAAGTGCTATATTAGCATTATTGATAGAGTAACTTGACAACTGTCCCCCGCAGCCATATCTTATTATATTAATATAACTGACTGAAATAGGAACCAAACATATATTTCTTGCATTTCATAGAAAATTGAATTATCTAAAACTGTTTAAGTAGGAGAAAATAACACAGGTTTCGTGTTAACTTTTGCTTATTGTAATAAAATAAAAATGTTGAACTATGCAATGTCATATAACGTAAGTACATATTTATGTAGGAGAAAATAACACAGGTTTCATGTTAACGTTATGAGCGTAAGTACACTTGAACTATAAGACTAATTGGTATAACATAAAGAAAAAGTAATTGAATTAAAATTTGAATACAAGTCGCTAAATCTTCGTGACATGAGCAGTAAAGAATAGCCAGAGCGAGAGGGTTAAACATTTCTAGATAATTCGTTATTCTGTAAAATATACGAAATATATGTTATTTTTCCAATTTTAGTCACTTATATCAATGTCAAAAGATATGGCTGTGGGGGCAGATGTCCTACAACCACTGACAGGTTGTATAACAAATTTTCTCCCCATAATTATCGTAGGTACGGTATCCTTGCTATTTCACTGCCGTTCGTTGTAATTAAAAGCGAATATATTTTCTTTAAATCTATAGAAGCTTTTTGGATTCTTTTGTTGTCGAGTTTCGAATTTCATCATTGCTGTTGGTTAAAATTCTTAGTTACTTTTAACTTCTTTAGATACGTGTAATTATTAAAAAAAAATTGAGTAAATAAGTTATTATTTACGTAGGACAAGTTTAATAGGATTTTTTAATATCCTTAATGTCTCTTTATCGTTAATAAGATTTGAATTGATTGCAGGATGGTGGAAATATCCTTGCCTTTGCCTTTATCAAACATGAAAAACATACTACTTGTTCTCTGCCTTATTAATGGCCTTGAATATTTTGGTGTTTTTATAATGAAAAGAATGTGTTACAGAAGAAACAATTAAATTACTTCGGCGAAACATATTTTTCTTGTCCAGATTCAGCTGTCAGTGTTGCTGCTCCAAGACAGCCTCGCCTTGTTAACATTCCCTTATTAACCAATTCATCCAGATCACAAAACACAATAACTATTTTCCTCTGGACAGAGTATTTTAGTACACAGTTTACCGATGATTATTACTTTTTCTTGCCTGGAAACAAAACATTCCCTCGTTACAACTGTCAATACCAATGTTCTGTTACCGCAGATCGAAAGCTGCTTACGTCAGTAGATGCTGTTCTCTTTCATATCACAAACTTTAAATCGAATGTGAAACTACCGAACAAGAGGCGTCTGCATCAACGATGGATTCTTTATGGAATAGAAGCTCCAAGACTTATCAAGTTACCTTGGCAGAAAATCGATGGATTGTTCAACTGGACAATGACTTATCGTGAAGATTCGGACATACCGGTACGTTATGGGCACATCTGTGAAGGAACTTTACCAGTTAAGGCACATGACAATGACTTCCTTGAAAAGAAAGATAAAGATGTTGTTTGGATCGTGAGCAAGTGCCACACACCGAGTAACAGAGAAGAATACGTTCGAAAATTGAAAGCTTTCATTTCTGTGGATATTTATGGAAAATGTGGAGACAAAGTTTGTCTTCCAACACAGTCAGCAAAATGCTACGAAGACATTTTAAGAACATACAAGTTTTACTTAGCATTTGAGAATTCGATATGTAAAAACTACGTAACAGAAAAATTTTTCAATGTGTTGAACTTCGATATTGTGCCGGTAACGCTCGGTGGAGCGAACTATAGTCGTTTCGCTCCTCCAGGATCTTTCATCAACGCTATGGATTATCCAGATCCAAGAAAACTGGCCGAGTACTTGTAAGTAGATTGCACCTAATAGTTATCTTTACAATAAACATTTTCAGTGGAAGAGGAATTTTAAAGTCTACCTCCAACGTTGGATGTGTGAGAAACTACATACAGACTCTTCCGTTTCTGTTAAAAATAACCTGTATGAATGGTTCATAGAAAAGGCTCAGAGTAAAGAATGGAGTTCAAAAAATTTGTTTGCATAATACAAAAGTTTGTAAAATAATCTGTTCCTTTTGGCTAAAGCATCTCTAAGAAACATGTTTTAAATAACTTGATGTTTCAGTTATTATAGACATTAAAATAAAATATTCCATTTCTGCTTTGATTTATAGATATTATAAAATCTTCTTCGTATTATAAATATTATCTAAATTGTAAACGCGAGACCTCGAGGCCGCAGTTAAACACTGGGTCCATAATTTCTTTTTTCTTTTTACCGACAGAAATGAAACTTCAGCGACAATTTGTTCCGAGCTCTACACCTGTTTACAGTCAAATGAATGATTTTTCATCGATGATCACAAGGCTACTTTAAAAATGGATTACATTCTCTTATCTCCGAACTTAGGTTATTGTAACTTAAGGAGAACCGTGTGAAAATGTGTTATAACTTTAACTTATTTCTGTTACTGCAGTAGACTTTATTAAAATCTTATAACAACTTCGTTGACACTTAAGATGTAAAATATCTATTATTAAAGTATACAGTAAAAATAATACTGTCTTATTTATAATAACCATGGTCTATGAATGATGATTTCTAGAAATAAGTCTAATCACATTTGTGAATATCTGACATGGTTTTTATGTATATCTTATAGGAACTCTCTTTATAAACTGACTAGCGTAAAAGTCCGTCAAAAATATTGTGAAACCACTGGAAACAAATAATATTCCATATAAAACCGACAATACACAAAAGAATAAATAAGGAAAAGAAAATTTCCTTTCTCGGGAACATTCTACATATTGCTCTTGAATCCACGACATATACTTGAGTAAAAATGGTTTGGATGAAAGATTAAAACATACGATAACAATGTGATTGCATACACACCTGTAGTTCTGAGAAAATTCGTCCTCTTCCCTACAGATAATTGGTATATTCAGTCTGTTTTAACAAATGCTTTGTCGTAATCATTCCCAATCAAACCCAAATGACTTACACACAATAGCAGGCAATGTCATGTATAAGAGTTTTTCTAGGAGGTAATTAGATATTTTTATCATCAACAGTTGTACTTTTACCTCACGTTTTGAGAGCTAGTTACACAAACGCTTTCTAGACAGCGAAACGTTCAACCTTTGGCCAATTTATAAAATGGTTTTTGAGGCACTTTTCCGATTAGTCCAGATGATTTCTAGTAAGGTGAATCTTAGATAAGCTTTCAAAATGCAAGAACAATGGGCACATTATCTTTGAGTTTAAGAAGCTAACAATAGAAAACGATCAAGTAAAGCTCGTGGAATACGCCGGCATCTATAGTTACTTATCACAAGTTTGTTTGTTGAATTTCATGCAAAGCTGATCGAGAGCGACCAACGATAACCAACCATAATTGGAAAGAGATAAACTAGAGTCGAAGGCAGCTAGTCATATCACCTATCGGCAACTCTTACACTACTCTTTACCAAAGAATAGTGGAATTGGCCATCCCAATATAGCGACAGATTGCAGATTTACTGTTTAGCTACAAATACCCGAAAAAGGGCTTTACCCGAAATATATCTATAACGCTATATATTTAAAAATTATGTATTTGCAACCAATAGTTTGTTCTTTTTTGGTAATTTAACCAAAGCATACTTCTTGTTTTTTTTCACATAGTCTTTGGACCAAGTGCCCTAACCATCAGTTGCTACTTATGAGAAGAATATAAAGTAGGTAAATACGCCAACACTTGATAGGTGTTAAAAGAAACCAAACAGTAGAAATTGATAAAGTGGAATCTGTAGGTCATGCCAAAGTTATATACGAATGAGTTTGATTGCTTATTTTATAACTTTCATGCAAGGCTACA